ATTACTATTCATATGTGTTTCCCATATTTTATTTATTTGATAATATTTAAATGGCTCCAATAATTTCATTTATCAATTTCTTTAAATGTGTCTGATCTGCTGGGACTAATTTGAAAATTTCTCTCAAACCTCCAATATCACGTTCTTTCTTTGCAATTTGTACAGCTTCCTGATAACTGTTACATTCTAGATACATTTTTTTCTTTTGTTCATAGGAAATTCCTGAAATCATATTAATGTATATGACAGCTTCCTTTTCATATTTCTTTTTCATTAAGTACTTGTAAAACGGTAAATACCCAATCGGTGATCTCCTCTCAGATGCAAATTGTTGTAATTCATCAAACCTTTTTCCATCAATTAAAACTTTACATTTAGTATGATAGAATCTTTTATCACTAATTTTAAATTCTTTAACAAGTTCATGAACATATCGATCTTGCTTCATCTCTATCAATTTACCCAGAGTTGCACCAAGAGATAATTCATTAAAGTTTTCATTGAATATACCTGATAGATTATCTTGGTACTTCCAAAGACTTTCTTCCTTTTTAAACAAATCAACTTCGTGTTTCAATAAGTGGTCATGTTGATAGTGGTTATATAAATCCTTGATTTGTGATAAAAATGGCTGTATCGTTCTCTGTTTTTTACTTTGTTCTAATATAAGTTGTCCTAAATCAAAAAATCTGTCTGTTTGTCTATAATAATCAAATAAAAATTCTTCATGAAGAAAAGATTGTGAATATAAGAATAATTGATTATCTGGCATGTCCAATGTTAGAAGTTTTGTAAATTGTGATAATGTTAAACTAGTTTGACATTTCAACAAAAATGATAGTACCAGTTCTGGGCAATTAGTTTTTAATGCTTCCTCCAGTGCTACGTTATTTTCATCCATTTCAAGAAGTTCCACAATTTTCAGCTGTGGATTTCTTTCCATTAAGGCTATACCTTTAGCCAGTTTAAATCTTCCTTCAAGATAAGAAACATGTACAATATCATTCAAACTTATCATTTCTGAAAATTTAATAACTTTAAGCTGGTTTTTGATAATAGTTAATAATTCATCATCTTCCATGTCTGATGATAATCGTATTTTTGATACAGCCCAATGTTTGAAAAGAATAGAAAATTTGGAGGCATCATTTAGTAATTCACAAACTTTGACTGCTTCATAATATTTATGACGAGTTAAAAGCAAATTGAGGATTCTACCACTCTTCATATGACAATATTCATCAATAGTAATAAAAAATCCGTAACTACGTATAGTATTCAATAATGTAATTAGTCTGCACGCTTCAACGAATATATTTGAATCAAATGTATTTTTATCTAATGACGCTTTTCCAAATGCTGCTGCACTTAATAATTTCTTCTGTATTGTAATATCGAACTCATGTTTAGCTGCATCGATACATTCTAATACAGCTACCTTTAAATCAATCAATCTTAAATTTGCAATTGATTTTGGAGCATGATTGCTCAACAAATCTAGAGAATCTAGAAGAATTGCAGCCGGTTCCGTAGACCCTATTCTAAATATATTAGCTGTAGATTGTGGAACTCTGGAGACCAAATGAACTTTTTCTTTAGTAATAACCTTTAAACCGTCAATCTCTGTAGCTATGCTTGTGATATTATTAGGATACCAAAATGAAATATAAGTATTCCCAGGTCCATATATTTTGATTTCATCAGTAAATGAACATACAATGCTGTCATCACTACACCATTTAATATCAGTTGGAATAACTTCTAAATCATGCTCTAATAATGCGGTTGAAGGGTCCTTGAAGACCCTTAGTTTGTTAAATTTTAAATTGTAAAGGCATACAAATCCAGAGTTCGATATTTCTACCCTATGCCATTGGCTTTTTAAAATGTTTGAAAGTATGCGTTTTTCTATCACAAATTCCAATACATCATTAATATCTAGTAGTATTATCTTATTGAGATTGCAATTCCAATGATTTTTGGTCAATATAGTAAAAGAGCCTTCATTTTTGTAAAGAAGGTTTAATTTATCATTGTTTAAAACCTGATAAATATCCTGAGTTTCCTTCGTTAATATAGTTCCATTTTTGTAATCCCATATAGCTCCATTCAATTTATTTGAAACATCAAATTCTTCAATCTCTAATGGTAAGTAATTTTTTACAACATTAATTGTCTTGGAAGTTACTATAACTAATTCTTCATTTTCATTAAATTCTAATTTGACTATCTCTCCAAATTTCTTCTTGGATAAGCTCAATAATAATGATCCAGTATAATCAAAGATTTCTATAGTATCAGGTGTGGATATAACGACAGTACTTGTTGAGAAAACTGTTTCATGCTGTTGCTTCTGTTGTTTATCAATAGAAGGCCACTCCAATCCACAAATCTCTCTATTTCTATAAAAAATATCTTGCAGTTTCTCCCAATTAAAACATGGATTCTCTATCATATTGAATCTTGAATAAACCCAATCCTTCCTAATATGCACTAAAATGTTAAATTGGCTACAGAATTACCTAAAACAATCTGCAAACCTCTCAATTACCTCTTTAAATTTCCCTTTTCATATTATAATTTTATATTAAGGTATATTGAAATTTTAATATCTTTTTGAAATATTGATATCATTAGAATAAAATGTATTAAAAACTATATAGGTTAAGTTAATTTATACAATTAAAAAGTTAGTTTGAAAGATAAGGAGATGAGATTGTCTCTAGGATATCCGGTACAAGTATTTGTTTAAGTGTGATGGATTCGGTTGTTTTAATATCCAAGGATCAGATTGAATTTGAGATTTCAAAAGAATCTGCAATATTATCACCTACTTTAAAGACCATGCTTGAAGGTCCATTTATTGAAAAAAATGGTAAGATTGAGCTTAATGATATAGAATCAGAGGTTTTATCTAAAATTATTGATTTTTTGAATTATAAGCTTAAATATAAGGATGTCGATTCCAACACTGATATACCTGAGTTTGAAATACCGACTGAAATGTCACTTGAATTATTATTAGCTGCTGATTATTTGCAGTTATAGAGATGAAACATTATTAATCAATTGAACAAGATGGAGAGAGTTATATATTATTGTTTTGAATATTAATATGTCATTGAAAATCGTATACACTATATCATTATAAAATTTACCTTTCTAGTTTTAGCTATCATGGCATTTACAGGACAATATGGACACTTGAATGAAGTTGTACCATTTTTAGACAGTTTATCTAACGCTTTTTTAGATATGATATGATGGCATGGCAATGAATAAGGAGGGTTATCTTCTGTAGTTTCCTCTTTAAGAACTGGGCATATGAATATCGGATGGAAATTAGATAATAATTTTGGTAATTTAACATCAAAAGGTAATTCATCCTTGGTTGTCCAATCTACATTTAAGGATGATCTAATATTTTTGTATTTGAAGAAGAATTGGAAGGATATTATACCACTTAATACAATTAAAAATAATGAGGAATCGAATGGCAATTTATCCGCTTGACAATAATCCTTTGAAAAGATTGATATACATTTTCTAGATTGCTCATAAATTAATTCTTCAATATTCTCCACTCTTTGTTTAATATAAACCTTCGTTATTAAAGGAGATAGTTTTGTCATGACCTTATTTATTTTATTTTCAAACAAAGTTGTTGGTATACCATTTTTCATATAATCATAAATTTCTAAAGCGTCATTACGTTTAACTAGGATCATTATATTTAAAACGAATAATTCAAAATGCAAATCTGTGCCATTTTGGCACCAATCTATACAGCTTTTAGTATCATAATTTTTTAAATCCTGTATAATTTGCCCCATTGAAATGTACATGCCTGCAATTTTTGTATCGACCCCATAAATTTCATTAATGTAGTTAACCATTTCATCAGTATCCTTGATTGAAATATTACTCAAGCCATATCTAGAAATATGGAAACCTATAGCTTTATCGATATAAGGTTTTGCATCTTTCGAGATTTTATTGACATATACTTCATCTAAGTCGAATTGACGTAATTCTTTCATTATATTTCTATTAAATTTTGAATATTGGTTTGATGATAATTTCACGTTTTTATGAATATTTGAATCCCATTGTTGATGAACTTTACTTAATTTGTCTATGACTAAAGATCTTTTTTTGGATAACTTCTTATCATCTGAATTATTCTCTAAATCTTGTAAATATTTATTCCAGTGAGCCTTCATTTTTCTTAATTGAGTCTTAAATTCCTGAGTATCATCTAAGCATTTTTTTGATAAAGATGCAGTAAGAGTTTCATCTGTGAACAACTTAGGGTATTCATTATTCAAGGTATTCAATAGTTCAGACATTTTCGGTATTTCCTGATATAAAGTTACAGAGCTAAGTGTGAGATTGTCAAATACAGTCTGTGCAAATGTATTTTGGGATGTTTTTTCTTGATTTCGAAAATGATGTTATATTAAAATACAATGAATATATAGAAATATGCACATATGAAATCAATATTTCACAGATACGTACTCTACAATTCTATAAACATATGCTAATTAAACTATAAGTGTTAGATCATTAAAAATTATAATCATAGGCTTCTTTCCACCTATCTTGCACTCCTTCCCTTTATATATTCTTTTTATATCTTCTGCATTCTATGCAAGGGAATTTCGAAGTTCGAATTTTGAAATTCGAAATAAAATGCAAAATAAATATAATCACGTGACATGGAAGGAAGGTAAGAGAAGACGTTACCCGCCTTTGATTCTTGGCTCTAACTTCTTTTTCGTTTCTTTTTCTTTTCTTCGATTCATCGATTCTTTGATCTCGTACTAATAAGTTGATGGATGAGAGAGAATAGTGGATGATTGATATATCAAACCATCTATTGATGCACCGATAGCTATATATATGACAATACAAGGAGGGATGGGGACACTTTATCGTTGGCAATTGATTATTGGCATCAGACTGTTTGGCCGCTGTCTATCGATTTGATTAAAATAATACAAAATAAAAAAAAATAAACTTGAGATAATACAGTATAATGTAGTACAATGCTCTGAGAATCAACGACGTTGCCTACTATTCAGACATCTTTGTAAGTGAGCAGCAAACCTGTTTGCTGAAACATCTCTACCACAATTTTTACAATGGAAATATTGTGATGAATCTTGTTGTTTAGTGTTACCGTTTATATCAATATTACCATTTGGATCGATGCTGTATTGCTTTAGTTGTGGGTACCTTGATTGCATTTGTTTTTGATGTACTACTTCTCTGGAAACTATATCTTGTATCATTGTTGAAATTAAGTTTTCATATATCGAAATTGACATGGAATCTATACTTTGTGTCATTATTCTTCTTCTTATTATTATTATTATTGTTGTTTCTGTTATTATTTTCCAGTTAAGAAATAGGTTTCCTAAAATATCCGTCTATATCTGATTCCAGCAGTCCTCTCTTCCCAATTTCTTGTAATCCTCTTAGCCCTACCTCTATCGTGGCCAAAGGTACAATAAGTAACAACCAAATATAGATTCCAATAAAACACTCTATACTAATTCAAGTGTCTAATTTATACAAATGTATCAAATCATGTACTCTTTGACATTCAATCATTTACTGCGAAATGTCCTGATCCCGATGCTTGTTCACAGAACAATTTTTCATCCATTTTTTTTTTCTTTCTTCGTTACATAGATACTTTTAGAGTTTAGAAAGTTAGTAACAGTGGTGATGACGATAATGACGGTAAAACGGGTAGAAAATGTAAGGAATATAGTAAATGATCGCTGCTATGGATGTGTTTCTGCAAAAGTCAATGCATATGTTCCATTTTGATTTATCGACATAATAAAAATAAATGGACTTCATAATGTTTTAAACATAATTCATTAAACAAATAAATATAAAAGAAATAAATAAATATAAATAAATTTAAGGAATAAAAATAAAATAAAATGCAATGTACAGTTAGGTAAGGTAATCAACATGTATAACTCATACTTGGCCTTTTTAAAGGATAACGGTTTTCAGGTAGAGAAACGAAATAATATTATGTTTTTTTTTCTTATAACCAGGATAATGTAGTCAGTACAAACATTTGATTTCAACAAACTTTAAGTTTGATATAATTTCAACTTACAATTTTGTATTCTTTTTACTTATAGTTATAGCATTATTTTAAAATTTAGATTTGGCAACATTGTTGGCACATTGTTCAGATTCAGATCTAATAGCTTCAGCTAAACCTTCATCAACACGGGCAAACAAGGCATATGTACGTTCCCTAATTTCTTTGGTAGCAGAACAAACGTGGACAGCAATGTTATGAGCCAACTTTTGTTGTTCACCAGGGGTTCTACCCAAAACTTTGTATAACTCACGTGCTTGAACAAAATCACCATCACCTGGAGAAGTTGCCCAGTGGAAAGGAACAGCTGGACCATTCCATACTTCTTGATGTTGTTGGATTGGCTTGTCCTTTTGGATGTATTGATATGGCTTAGAAGTTGCCAAATAGTTTGGTTCACTACCCAAATTACCGTTGACAGTCATTGGACCATCTCTAATAGCTGGGTTGAAGAATTTAGATGCGTATGGACAGTTAACAGGAACTTGATGATAGTTTGGACCAATTCTGTAACGATGGGCATCGGCATAAGAAAACAATCTAGCTTGCAAAACAGGGTCAGCAGAAGCTTCTTGATATGGAACAGTATTACTTGGTGCAAATGCAGCTTGTTCGATTTGAGCAAAGTAGTTTTCTGGGTTTTCGTTCAAAACTAATTTACCGACACGACGCAATGGGAAATCCTTGTGTGGCCAAACTTTAGTCAAATCGAAGACAGAAAATGATAATTTTTGAGCTTGTTCCTCAGTCATAGTTTGAATATGAACAGTCCAAGAAGGAGCGTTACCACTTTGAATATTTTCAAACAAATCTTGTTGGGCATGATCTGGGTTTTCACCACCCATTTTAGTAGCTTCTTCATTAGTCAAATTCTTAATACCTTGGTCTGTGATTAAATGGACTTGGACATAATACCAATCACCATTCTTGTTAGACCACTTGTAAGTGTGACCGGAATAACCGTTCATGTTTCTGTAAGTAGCAGGAGTACCACGATCACTGAATAAGATCATAACTTGATGGATGGCAACTTGATTTTCTGGAGTAGTCCAGAAATCCCAAGCTGCATTAGCATCCTTCAAATTAGTTTGAGGGTTTCTCTTTTGGGTATGAATAAAATGTGGGAATTTTGAAGGATCTCTGATGAAGAAAACAGGGGTGTTGTTATAAACCCAATCCAAGTTACCTTCTTCAGTATAAAACTTGGTGGCGAAACCTCTTGGATCTCTTGCAGAATCAGCAGAGCCCTTTTCACCACCAACTGTAGAGAATCTTGTTAAACATCTAGTTCTTTTACCAATGGTATCGAACATTGCCGAACCACAGACATCTGTAATATCATCGGTGACTTCGAAATAACCAAAGGCACCGGAACCATGAGCATGAGGGTTTCTTTCAGGGACTCTTTCTCTGTTGAAATGAGCCAAAGAATCTAACAAGTTAAAATCTTGTAACAACAATGGACCATGTTGGCCGACACGTTGGGTAGCAAAAGGTTCATTAATTGGTTGACCGTTAGAATTGGTAACAATTCTGTCTGATCTTACATCAGACGTATTAGTATTATCAGCACCTCTTCCTGACATTATTGAATATAACTATTTGTTAGAATTGTAAAAGTAATTAAGAAGGGGGGAAAAAAAGTTAAGCGTATGAGTCTTCTAGTACTGAGAGAACCGAACCACAAAACACTGATATGCGCTAACACTATTGAAATATGTAATTTAAAGTTAAGCCGAAGTAAATTAAATATAGTTTTAACAATAAAGAATAAGATTATAATCTACAGTGTTAGATATTATGGATATTTATATAGTTAATTTAAGAATCCACAAAAAAAATCAAATCAAATCAAGTTAAGTTAAGTTAGGTTAGGTTAAGCTGATAGCTGATAGCTGACTCGAGAAAATTGAATCAAAGTGAAAAGAAGGAGATTGATGAGAAACTAGAGAGAGATTTAATATCAATATACCTGTTTTTTTATTCAATCGGAGTTAGTGGAACTAAACGAACAAGAGAGAGAGGAAAAGAGGTATTATCAATTCATTCATTACTAATTGACGGTCAGAACAACAATAACAATAACAATAACAATAAATTAATATTAAATGAAAAAGGTCCCCATAAATTAGGGATCGTTTAGTTCTGGGGAGGACTAATACACAGCACAGCGTACATAAAACTGCGAAACAAGGTAACAAAAAAAGAGAACAACTAGAATAAGATATGACGAATATTCCTATTTTCTGTTGTAATGTATTGTATTGTATTGTATTGTATTGTATTCTATTCATAATCAATTGGTGAAATCTAGAACATTCATAATCATTACTATCGATGTTTTGAGGGTACTGATGGATATACTTTTTAATACACTCTTGGTAATACAAAACATGGTATGGGGAGGATGGGGTGACGAATTGGAGTTCTTTCAGATTGTGATTTGTGCGGGATGATCCCTGGCGGGGAAGGGGAGAAGGGTTGGTGGAAACTTGTGGTAATGAAAAATGAGGTTAAGGCCTTTAGTACTCATGTTTGGCTTTGCCTGCATATACTAACGTAGCTATTGCAGTGATGTTGGACTGCCCTACATCGTTAAAGAGACGTGTAGGTGCCGAAGGCGGGGGAGGGGGGGAGGGGGGAGACCGGATCGAGACAGGCAGGCAGACGAACGGACGGACGGACGGACGGACGGACGGTGATTCACGATGGTTCAGGTTAGCCGTATGTGGATATTCGGAAGGAGAAGAAGGTGAAATAAAACGTAGGGCGAAGATATTAAGGCCATATGATTTTGTAATTTATGATGTTGTAGGGATACATGCATCTATTGGTAGTAGTGGAAAATAAAAAAAAAATAAAAAAAAAAAAAGGACAGACACAAAATTAAATTCTAAACTAGACTAGACTAGACTAAACCCCGTCCACAGGTCCATTAGTCCCTCTATGTCCGTTACATCCATCCACTGTGTGTGTTTTTATTTTCAAACTTCAACAGATCTCTCTAACCAAGAGGTTGGTAGCCGTATGAACACGTAGTTGAGTTTACGGTAGAGAAAGAGAAATTAGAATTTAATAATTCTAATTCCCTAAGATCTTTGTTTTTTGCACTGGCATCTCCGCCGCCCCCTAATTATTTCTTATGGGCCAGTTTCCTTCCAATACAAGGAAGCAACACACAGCCATTCACTTTCTTACACAACTCCGCTGTTATTGTTTGTCCTCATTATTTTGCCTTCATCTTGTCTCTGGTAAATATACATATATGCTCACCTACCTATATCTAAGTTGTGAGTGTATCTCTCTCTATTCTAGAACAAAAACTTCACTTGCACTTGCACTTGCACTTGCAGATACATCTCTCCTATCTTGATTATATAATTAATTAAAAGAATTAATTTGACGTAGTGCTTTTACTTTTAGGGGAGAAACACCATCAAATGTTAATATCTCAGCAGAAATAAGGCAGTCATATATTTGAGGTATATATCTTAAAATGTGCTCCATGTGTTTTCTTTCCTCGTTGTACGGAACAGGGGCTCTGTACCTCTCCTTTTCCGGTATGTGCACCTTATTAAAAGAAGTCACATCAAAGAAGTCACATCAAAGAAGTCTCTACGAATCATTGGAGAGAAATTGTATATGAGAAGATGAGGGCATTACCGGATTTAACATAATACGTAGTTGGCAAATAGATAGTCACACATACATGTATATCAAGATACCCGACCATTAACTTCTTGAGAAGAAAGTCGAGAGAGGAATAAATAAAAAAATAAATAAATGAAGATGGGTAGTTTTTATTTCAGGGATAAATAAAAAAAAGTTATAAAAATTACGTAATATCAGATTGCATTTGCCTGACTCTTTTATTTCAAGACTTTACCATCAACAATTTCCTTAGAGACACCACCAGCAACAACTGGTTTATCCCAAGCCCACATGTTGTTAACGAATTCCTTTTCTTCTTCGTTAGTTGGGTCCAACTTGGTGTAACTGTAAGATTCCCAATCTGGGGCAACATCAAAGGCTGGAACATTATCTTGACCTCTAACCATAACAGCACCAATGATACCGTTGTTGTTGTTTTCACCATAGACAACCATGGAACCGAACATGTACTTGGTAGAAGCAGACAATCTGTTGAAGAAACCACCGATCAAGTTGTTAGACATGAAGGTTTGGGTCAATTCATCATTGTACTTGTATTCAACCTTCCACAAAGAGTATTCTTCTGGGTTGTAATGTTCCCAGAACCATGGCAAAGCAACTGGTCTGGTATCCTCGTTGGAGTATTGTCTCTTCCATTCATCTAAGACGAAAGTGGATCTACCTAGAGCTTCCAAAGGATGCTTTGGTTTCTTTTCAGCTGGTGGGGCAGCTTCAGCATCGGCGGTTTCCTTCTTAGCTTTTGAGGTTTGGGAAGCGGCAGCTGGAGCAGCAGCAGCAGCAGGTTTCTTTTCCTTCTTGCTCTTGTTCTGTGGTGGTTCTAACTGTTTTTCAATAAATTTGAAGTCAGTCATTTCATCCTTCAAATAGTTGGAGTTAATCACTGTATTGAACCATCTGACAATAGCAGGGTTTTGAGCTCTCCATTCTACGCCAAACAAGTAATTGAACCCTCTAACGAAGGAAGCAGCGGCAACTAGATCTGCAATGGTAATATCTTCAGTGACCAAATATGTGTATTCTTTTAATCTGGCCTCAAAGATATCAGTGATTTTCTTAATTTGGACCAAAGCAGCATCAACATTTTTCTTATTGTATGGGACATCACCTCTTAGAGGAGCAAATGCATTCAGCAATTGGATCAATAAATCAGAATTGGCTAATGATTGCCATCTGATAATTTGAGATTGAATCTTGAAGTTGTCAGCAGGCCCCAATAATTTTCTTTTGATTTTTTCATTATTGGATAAATTAATTAAATAGTAATTAATTGCCATAGATTCAGTTAATTTAAACCCAGTAGCGTCATAGAATGCTGGTAATTTCTTCAAAGGGAAGATAGAACCGAATCTTTCAGCGTCGGTATCTGGATCGACAACTTTAACATCCAATTCCAATTGTTTTACCAATGTTCTTGGAACAAGACCTCTAATTCTGAAGTTAGAATATAATACTCCTTTTGACATATTTGATTCTTATATTTCCCGCAACACCCAAAAAGAAACCTTCTTTTCCAGTACTGTGACCTGATCTTCTAAAATTGAGCAAAAAAGAAAAATTTTTCTAACATTGGTTGAAAATATCAATAATATAGTTTTATTTTATCAATGATATTAACCTTGTTTCAAAGTTTTTTAACCATTTCGTTAATTAATCATTATCAGTTCAATTGATTAATAATAAGTTTCCTTTGCTCTTACGAAATAACAACGCTGATGTTCGTATCAAACGCTAAAATTAGGCTCGTGTTCATGATTGGAAAATGTACACAGAGAACCGTATGTATGGAAACAACCAACTGCGATGATAATGTAGAATTGTTGAATCACACAGCTGGAATCATTTGTTTAAGATTACAGGAAGAAAGACTACAATAGCTAAATGAAATTACTGAAGTTTGATGAGTTGAGCCTTCAGGGCTTGATCAAAGATTATATCTTTAAAATGTCGATTGCTTGAATGTTACCAATACCTAAAGTCCTGAACATCTAATATAATTCTGAGCGGTAGTTACAAATATAGTTAAAAATTGACATTGTGCTATAAACATTAGCGAGCTTGCGGTAGAAATCGGGACAACTAAATTGATCCTGAAAATCCAGCGTTGATAGAAATTTGGGCCCAGATCTGAACAAGAATAAACATTTTCAATCTAAGTTGTTAGAAATCGAAAACATGTGATCAAATTAGTTGGTTTCGATAAATTAGAGGAAAGTAGTAACCAGTTTCTCCAGTCACCATATATGCCGTTTGGGTTGGTAAAGTTTTCTGTCAAAGTTAATAGATATAAACTCAATGAATAGCAAGGTATTTATTGCAATGGGCAAACAAGTGCGAGTCCACAATTATAGTACCAATAGTAAATGGTATTCCGACAATGGTATAAACAAACTTACACCAGATTCACTTCCCATCAAATATTAGTTAACAAATAAGACCAAAATCTATAAAACCCTTTAAAACTTCAGGAAGTAGAGCTTGACTGGTCCAAATTATATCACCTAATATACATAGCTATGTGTCAACGTTACTTCTAAATTGTTCATAATGATGTCAAAATGTTATATTCATGTCATTTTCACATGTAGTTTATACATAGTAGGCAGACTACCTCTTGAACCAATTTATTAAAAAAAAAAGGGTGATCTAATATTTTCATTCTGCCACTTTAACAATTAAGGCGATTTCTCTTTCCCTAATTGTCCGGCCATTCCATACGGTACCACAACCAATGTTACTAAATACCGTATCAAATTATATCCGTTAAAAATAAATTGATTGACTGAACCCTATTACAAAAAAGAACCGACATATTTACACTTTATATTTTTGACGTAATTTTGTAAAATATACGGATTAATTTTCTACAGGGGTAATTTAGGACAAAGAAAAAGAGAATGATTGCGTATTTTTGCAGAAGGACACTATACAGATATCGGAAAAGGATGCCTATTAACACTTGTACAGATCTTCATTTATTACTCACTAAAATACTGAACAACTATATAGTTGTGATGATGTATTGGTCTAATGAAGCGCTGCTTGTATTGTCTGAATCAAAAATTACATTGTTTCATCTGGTTTACATTTCAATAATCGATGGGATGAGATGAGATGAGATGGCTTTTCAGATCATATATTGAATCTGATTAAACCTAAAGGCTACAGTTATTCTCATGTAGTTCAAAATGTACCTGTAAGTCAACTATCTATCGACTTTCAAACTCTAGAACATAGTACAAGTAACCGTTTATGTAACTTATTAGTCAATTATGGCTAGTTATCTTTGACATAATATGAAAGGCCAAAATTAATGGAATTTAACGACATAACATTTAAGATTTGTTTGAGTAATAAGTGATATTTTCAAATATGGCGGTCTAAGCAGAACTGCGAAACGTTGAAATAGATTTCTTGAATAGAAAGAAGTGTATAAATAAAAAGATATTTAAGAACTTCAATATAATTGGATTTCTAAGCACTATTTTCATATCAGTAATATTGTTTCTTGATGATGCAATTAGTAAGAATAAAGATGGTTATCTTGGAAAATCCGAATATTAGAAATTGATATTGCTGATATTATGCTATAGTAGTTTCAACTAATAATAGATCAACTAAAACAAAAAAATATACTGACCAATTAGAATAAACAATCGGACAAATCAACGGAGAAGTAAAGTAAAATCAAATAAATAATGTTTTAAATAAGAATACTATTTCTAACAATGATTAGTATGGTTAATATAGAGAGATAAAGAAGAGAAAGTTAAAATTTCCAATTGAAGTTAAACATTAGAAATTAATAAGAATTTAAGCTGGTTAAATTATCACAGCAACGACAAACAAGTAGGAAAAACTTTAATTGATTTCTTTTTCTGTTTTCAATTCAATACAGAAAATTTCCATCAGCTTCACTTCTTGATTTTTTTGAAAATTGTTTAACAATAAAAAATATTTTATAGCCTGAACAAAATTCCAGATAAATACTGTTAGAAGCTATATGTAACATATACGTACACTGGAATCACTTGTTTTACTATAATGATGTAGTTTAAAAAGGTTGTACATGAATGAAGTGTAATGACGGATTAATGAGATCATGCATAAATTTTCTGTTTCATCTTCAACCTCAAATTGTCGGACCTTCCATTGTTTAAATGAAATTTTGCATAATTGGGTGAAAAAAAATCGGCGAAATAAAGAACAAAGAATTTGATCTAGAAAAAATTACATTGTTTAATGCATAGTTTTCTAAGGATTTCTGAATAATTTCACTGTAATGTCCTAATAAAAATGTATTCCTGTATAGGAAAAATGAATACAGGCTATACTAATTCAATCTAGAAAAGGCTAATTTCTTTTTTTTCCTGTTCTTTTTATTTCAGTTAAGGATTATTAACAATTTCCTCTACGAAGAAAAAGATCCAGGCAAGAGCCTATTATTGGAAGGAAATTTCTAAAAATATTTCTTTTGATCACATGATACATATGTCATATTTTAAACCCTAATGATATTTTAATATGACTTTAATAAAGTTTATAGAAACAATATAATTACTTTAACTAATTTCAGTAAATCAAAATCAAATTAAAGTTCTATCCTGTCAAACCTTGTAAACTTCAATCTCTCTAGAAATACATACGGAAATAATGGACATAATTTCGAGCTTATCAAAATTAATACGGCCACTGGGTAAATACCTTAAGCACTATTTGAATCAAGGGAGGATTCAATTATACCATATACTGGTTTTTGTTTCTATAACGGCAATTGTTGCTGAAAGATCAACTTCTAGATTTACCATGACACACACACACTCTCTCTCTCCTTAGTAGTCAATCTGACTACCTTCGAATGCTCAAATATATTTTGAGCATACATGAAGCTTTGAGAAATATTACTTGAGAAGAGATTTACATAAATTCGTATATATCTGGCAAACAGTACAACTTATTGAAATTATATCAATATGAATAAATGCAGTCGTCATCAGCGTCAGTGAAAACGCCTTAATTTCCTGCCCTATATTATTTGGTTAGCTTTACGAATGCACTTCCCTGTTTTCAAATGGGCTTTTTGATCTATCCAAAATAGTCGTGCTGAACTTCTGGAAATTAAAACGTCCGGTCATTTCTCCTTCCAGTTAAATTTTAAGCAAGTGTATTCCTTGTACAAATCTTTCCTCTTAAGAAAGCCCTCTTAGTATCAAAATTTTATCCGGAAGAAGGAAAAACTCTTTATTTTCCTTTATAATATAGTTAGCGAAGACAAGGTCTGATGTTTATAACCGTGATAAAGGAAAAAAACTACGTAGAGATTATAGCTTATTAATGATATTGTCACTATATAATTAATATGATGAACAAAATCCCGAAAAGCTAAAATAATAATTGAACATCTAGATACTAGACTACATAAGATTTATAGCAAAACGAAGACAAATGCAGATTAGATGATCTAAACGCATCATCAAACTACCGTAGAAGAAAGTGATTACCTATTATTAGTTTATTAAATAATTTGTTCATCCAGTTAATTATCTATTCAAAGTTACCCATTGTGGTTCTTGTTTGTTTTGAAAGCAATAGTTATCTTGGTTCAACAAATTAAATCCTATTTATTTCATTTTGATTTATTGTACTAAATTCACGAGAAGTCTGAATAAGTATTCAATTCAAATTGCGAGCATGAAACTGAATAAAAGGGGAGGGGGCAGTGAGTCCGGTTTCTTTGTTTGAATTGGTATTAATATTGGCTATTTCAATAATACTTTTTAGACCTTAATTAAGCAATAATAAGTTTAGGGAAATTCAATTGTTAATATCAATGACAGAAAACAGTTCTATGATTGTTGTTGTTTTGTATTTAAAATTTAAAATAGGGATTATAAGATCCTATTCTTTACGGATACTGTCTTGATTGCAAAAATATCTTTTTTGAAGATACATCAGAACATTTCGATTCTTGTCTTTACCTAAGTTGATCATATCATTATAATGATAATATTGATTAAGAAAACTTTAAATCTATTATTGTGTACGTCACTGGCGTTAGACAAAAAATACGCAACTCCCTATTAGATGAAGATAGTCGTTTTACATACAATTACTAGCGTTATTTTATTTACTTTGTTTACTTTTGTTTTATTTAAATTTGTTGATATGCATATGAACGATGCATACATCAACTTTATCAATCATAATGTTAAAAATAGTCTTATTTGTAAAGGACCCCTTTATTTTAAAATTATTTAACTAACTAAACTCTTGATTCATTAAATTAATCTTTATGGCTATGATGGTTACAGATTTTATGATGTCACTATTATGTAGTTTTCATTATTTACAAGAGAAAAGTCAGCATACCAGTTGTGGACCGTTTTTACTTAAACGATCTTTTTTGTTGCCTTAGCTACACATGTTTCACTTGTCTAGTCAAAAAAATAACACTCTAATAATAAATCAGCCCAGAAATTAAGCAACAATCATCAAAATAGACTATTTTCTAGCGGGGAAGCAAGGGTATTTAATATTAAGTTGCTTGAATTGTCGGTGCTGGGTTATCTCTTTATTTGGTTGCTGTTCTTGAAACTTGAAAAGTGATTAATCTTTTCAATCTCAGTAAATAACCGGTGTAACAGAAGTTTTCATTCATGTTATGTATATTTCCCTACTTTATATGTGTATACCTCAAAACTTAAGTAATCTCTCTTCTGGTGTTCTCCCTGCTGTCTCTACGACAATATAAAGGTAATTAAAATACAGAGGGTTTGGATTATACACATGAATTTTTCCACTAACAACTGCTTGTACTGGATTATTTTTAATTTTCCAATACAAATAGAAATTCAACCGTTTTACATTAGGATAAACTTAAAAGATAATAACAGAACTTAGCCTAGATTTAATTAACATTTCTAAGCAAAGCGACAAATAGCTCCTCACTGTTTTAGTTTCTATCTATTAAGATATTGTTCTATTGTTTTACATTTGTCAAGAAAAAAACTTGAAATGATGAGTTTGCTGTCCATCTGATGAGAGCCTTCGGTGAACAGCAATATTATGTAAAGTACACTTCAATTTAATTAAAACTTCTTCCGATTGAATAAATTGAGTTAGGAAAAAACCTGTAGTAGAAATTCCGATGATATCGTTCTTAGTTGCTCTTAAGATAAAGCCTTAGTATATCGAGATTAGATTCTGGTGATGATGTTTTTTTCTTTCAATACATACACCTATCATTTGTATCTAACAAATGATTATCAGAGCAAGCAAGGGAAAGGAAGAAATAACCACCACAGTGATTTAATAGTTTATAATGGCGGATCAGAGAAAAAAAACAGAATAGAATAGACAGCTTGTTGTATTTTTTAAATTAAGTACAATTGGCTTCTATGTATGTACGTACTTACCTAAAAAACCAACAAAATTTGCTAAAAAAAATATACAACACGACATTTATACAAGCTGCTAAAACAGAGGGAAAGAGAGCTCTACACAAGAAAATGTAATATAATTTAGGACATTGATTGAATTAAACTTAGTTGACAAAACAAAACAGTAACACAGAACATTGCAAGCACCTCATTATATTACTGGGGTTAATAAGGGGAAATTAAACTAGCTAATACGTATATCTATCTCTATCAAAACTTTTCAAAATTTTCATACATATATACCTTTTATTCATCACCTAAGACAAACAAAGAAATCCGTACTTAGTGGATGAAATGCTAAAACCTTTAAAAAATGATTATTCAGTAAAATATACAGTATGAATCTTGAAATGATAGTTCAGTTCAATCAACAATTTAATTGGAATTGGGATTGGGATTAGGATTAGGATTAGGACTGAATTTTATTGTAAACAACCATTTCGCGACTTGACTAATATGTACGTCTATGGTTGCTATTGAAGACTTGGACAATAAATCTATCAGAGAGAAGACTACATTAGTAATATGACAACTTCAAATGCTGCTTTTTGTTATTGTTGTTGTTGTTGTAATACTCTTTTGAGGTTATGTGGTATGGATAGAAATATAATATAATATAATAGAATAGAATAGAATAGAAGAGCATATATATAAACCATCCAAATAGCCAAAAGTACTGTTGGTGGTTACTGAAGAAAAAAAGGCGAAAAGAAGTATAGACGTACATAGACGTACAGACGTACACATGTACTTGTGTTTCTATTTTATTCACAAGGAAAGAACTTTTTTAATTAGAATGTCTAACAAATTATCTTAGAAACTAACAGTTTCAAAATATAAATAATCGGACCGTATTAGGATAGTTTTTTATAAACCTGAAACATCAAGATTTCCAATCGTAACATACCTAAAACTCTAAGCTAATTTTATAATATAATTAATTCATTTACTCATTTCGTTAGTTGACTTAATCAGTTTAATTCAATTAGACGTTTAAGTGGACTAACCACATAATTACTATTGTTTCTACGTTAGCATTAGCGTTTCTTGGTTTGATGTTTTTGCTGTTACTTATTGCAAGTGTCTCTCTCTTCGCTCTCTTTCTCTATGAATAATTCGAACAAAAATAAGATGTTGTGTAAGAACAGTATAGATTTCGTTGATTTAATTAAGAGTTTGTTCCAGTTAAGTAGTATAATATATTCAAAATGATGATGGATAAATGAGGATGATGCCTTTTTTAATGGATTTTCCAAGTAAGGAACCGGTGAGGCAGGAGAGTTTTTTTCGATCCTCTCTCTAAAACATTTCGAAATATAACAAAATGTTTTGTAATTTATTTTTTTTTTTTAGAAATTTACCTATTCCTTCTTGAAAACCCAATTATGGTTATCAGGTAGATTACAATGATGATGATAATGATGATGTGTTTCCAGTTATTTCGTTGCCTCATACCTAAAAGAAAGTAGGTGAAGAAGATAAACTTAGTACAATATAATTTTCAATAGCCTATTTTTTATTGTCAAATTTAGCAGAAGTAACAAGTGAAACTTGAAATCGGTTTCTATAACTAAAAGGGAGATTAAGTGTATGTACCACAAACAAGAATAATCACTAATTGAAATGTTTGATGTTGCCTTTAGGTGTAATATACTTGTGTTACAATTTTGTTTATTGTTTTTTTGTTTTTTTATAATCCTTCCTTCTTTCCTTGCTTCCTTATGATTTTCAGTGTAAGCAATCCCAAGCATTCAAAACTCAAGCTAAAGCACGAAGTCAAGTTAAAAATAAAGTAGGATACAGTTCAATCAATCATGTTTCGTGTATGCTTCTATTTCTTTCATAGGACTATCTGTAAACTATAGGTGTAAATTATGGTTTTCCCTTGCATTAAATCATCCAACCCATTATTTCACAATTGAAATTGAAATTTGGATTGGCAAAATTCTTTTAACATATAAAGGAATCCAAAATCTAGATAAAAACTATAAAGCTAAAATTAATATTCCTTAAATTTTTAAAAACAATACATAATTTAATGTCATTTCTATTTTAACGTCATTTATATTTACATATACATAACCTTAATTTTTATTCTAAAAAAAGTATCGTAATCAACTAAATAAATAAATAGATAAAGCTTTTTGGTAACTAATAAAAGTTATCATAAGTGAAATTCTTCAAAAATAAAAAAATACAAGAAATCATTACAAAGGAACTTACTGTAAAAAGGGTAAAGATTCCTTTATCTTTCATTTATCTATTATACTCACAAGACAATAACAATAGTATTAGTAAGAGAATATATTCCACATTAGAAAATACTGGATATTAATTTCAATCTCATTACTACTATCATTATTATTTCACCCCTTCCTTCATTTACAGAGACAATAAAGCGACACGCTATTGTTGATCTAATCTGGTACAAGTCGACATCAAATCTGTTTACATCATTTCAATCATACCAGAAAATTAGAATATAAACACAGACATCCATTTGCTCAAATCGTTGCTCTATTTTATCCTTCCATCAAGTCGTGAAGAATAAATATCAATACAAATCAGAACAACAATAAAAACAACAGTTCTAGTTACACCAAGTTATCATTGTCTACCCGATCAATAATAACAACAAATATAACAAGGCACTTATTGACTGGATCAAACAATATACGTTTACTATTTTACAATCAATCTCACTCATTTCATTTAGAGATTAGCTAAAGTCTAACCTGTCTTCAATCGCTAAAAAGAAGGTTATTTGGTTGTCCATAATATATCCTTCCTTCATTTTAAGTCAAACATAACAATTCTAATTCTAGAATTGCAAACAGTGGACTTTCTACACACAGTTTCTCTCACAAGGATACTACAAGTTTGGCTATTCTAATAAGTTTAGCTTAACTTAACTTTACTGTTCACCTACTTTATTCTCCTTCATCATAGAATTGAAACTAAATAAAAAAAATTTTCGTTTGCTTCTTTTGGCGACAACCTAATTTCTCTGTTTGTCTGTCATTTTACCGAAATCAAAATTTTTCCTTTTTGAGCTCGATTTTGATTTCGATTTCTAATTCGAATTCGAATTCAGTTTTCTAGCCTTAGAAGAAACAAAGTAGTTACCTGACGATAACAACAACAACAACAACAACAACACACCTATTGATTCCTGTTTTGTATTGTTTTATTTTATTTTATTTTATTTTGAATTATTTTGAATTATTTTGTTTCTCAAATTTTTTTTTTTTTTGTTTGATTTGATTTTTCACTACAATACTTCATAATGAGTGACATTCCTGGTTTGGTAAAACAAGAACAATCTAGTGAAAAAAATATAACAAGTGAGAATAATACTAAAAATCAAATAGAAACTCAAACTATTTCAAGATCATCAAGTTTTGATGAACAATTGAAAGATTCTGATAATATTAAGAAAATAGGTATTTTATGTGTCTCTCCAGGTTTAGATACTGATAGAATGGATAGCCATAAATTAAGCACTATAAAAATTTCAAAAGATATTGAAAAATCTCAAAAGGAAACAATTATGAATCAATTATCTTCAAATGCTAATGAAGATGCTACCAACACAGTTGGTACAACTAGCGTAACTTTAGAAATTGATTCAATGAATAATTCCAATGCTAACGGTACTGGTAATTTGTCAACCCCTGTTACTGAAAGGACAGATTTATCAACAAACTCCTTACCTTCATCTTTGACTTCTGCCTCCTCAGGAAAGGAAAGCTTTAATGAAACTGATTTGAAAACTTTGAGTAAAATATCTTTGAAAAGGAAAAGAATACCTTCTCCTTTAAACTTATCAAAGTCTTATGATCATTATTCTGCAACTACTTCGGATGCTACTCCAATTAATCAAGATTATAATAGTAATAGCAGTAATAGCAATATTGGTGGTCATACTATTAATGGTAATTCGAAATCAACTTATCAAAGTGCTCCTCCTCATATCACTAAACATGTTATTAGAAAAAAACCAAGAGTTCAATATTTAGGCAAATCTACTGGTATTCCAAATGCAAGACAAATGAGATCAATGCAAATGTACCCTTCATATAATCAGAGATCAAGAACTCCTTATGGTCAGTTTTATCCGAATCTCATGATGGACCCTTACATGTCTCCTTATCATGGTCAGATGTCTGGGTATCCACTGAGAACTCCTTTTCAAAGTCAATTTAATCCACAATTCTTTGGATATCCAAGAACTGCAGTACCGTACACTTCTCAATCTCAGTATTATAAAGATTTCCCAAGAAATTCTGGATTAACAAGTCCAGCTGGTTCTAAAAATAACTCTCCTAATAGTCGTGGTCCAAGTTCTTCACCTTTAGGTTCTACTTCAAATATTAATGCATACTCTAGTAACCCATCTAGATACCAACAATCTTCGACAGAAATAAAATATTACGATGAGAACAAACAAAACATTGATAGAAATAATGATAATGATAATGCTAATAGTTCTGATGATAATGATGCTACAGGTGGAAATGATGAAGATGATGATGATGATGAAAATGATGAAAATACGGATTTAGCCATAGCTGCAGATGATGAACCACCTCAAGTTATTGCAGTCAACAATGACTCGTCTCAATCTTCATTGATGCAAGGTGAAATACGTCTATTAAGGCATACGTTTAGTTTTGAATTCCCATTAGCAACCACTACGTTTGAGAAAAAAATTGATAAGAAAATGTTTATGAGCATTTGTGATAAAGTTTGGGATGAATCGCAAATACTTTTTACAAGGGAAACTAGATAGAAGCATCGAATAAGCATTGACAATTAATTTTGTCTCATACATTAATATACAAAATTATGCATTATGATAAAAATATTCAACATCACTAAATATTAAATACTGTAATGATATCTATCTTTTTGATAAATATATAATCTCAGGATAAAAATAGAATGTAATATCAAAGTTTTTGAAACCATACTCTTTTTACAAATTTACTTGAAGATATATTATTCTTGTTATAAGCTCCCAGTAAAATATAAATCTGCTGTTAGATTTAGCATCTCAAGGCTAGCTTGGTCCGATGCTGTTGTCATGGTTATCTTCAATAATCAAAATATCCTTACATGATTTGATTATGGAATAGCATATGGATACACCCCACCGTTTTAAAACATTTTAAAGAATTATTATACTTTTGAATCTAACTGTTTGGGTTCATTTATAAATTGGAGGTCTACTTTCAATATTCCTTTTCAAACGAACGATCATCCATTCAGTTGATTCTTTTACACCATCTCCAGTCAGTGCACTGACTGGTAATACACGACTATCTCTAGCACTTAGATGTTCTGCAATTTTGTTAAATATCTGCTTAATATCTTGGATTTCCATAGTATCTGATTTATCTTGTTTGTTAGCTAGCATTAAAACAGGTACACCTTCAACTTCTTCATCCATAATGATCGACCTTAAGACTTCACTCCATTCATCTATACGAGATCTATCTGTACTGTCAACAACAAATATTATACCATGGCATTGGTGATAATATTCTGACCACATTGACCTTAAAGATTCTTGGCCACCAACATCCCAAAACTTAAGTACACAGCCTTTGTCATCCATTGGAATTTGAGCAACATTTTGACCCACAGTTGGAGCAATCTTTTCCAAACTTTTGGATGGCAAAGAGAATTCCTTTTTTAATGTCTCTAGATATGTTGTCTTACCTGCATTGTCTAATCCTAAAATCAAAATAGAATAATATTCTTTTTTATTCCAATTATTATACAATCCCCTAACCAAATGAAACATACTTTTATTTATCCTTTAATAATTAATCTCAATCAGGTCTAAGAAGAACTATAAAAAACACCTCAACTATTATGAATACCCTTCTAAATATCAAGATTGGACCAGTGAATTGATGATTCTAGCCCTCACTTCTTTACTTTAGTATCATCTAAACTTATCTTTGAATCTATGGACAGGTTGTAACTTTTTTAAATTGTATAGCTTTTTTTTCTTGATACTTGAGAGAAATCAAGAGAAGAGCGATACCCATTCTAAGAATGTTTGACGTAATTAAGAAGATAAGAACTAACAAATGGTAATAGATTAGCAAAGAACTGACTATTATTTAATGGTATTTGTATATTAGCAAGACTGGACACTAATTAGACTTTAAATACATTAAATCTTATTATAAGTTTAAATTTATCAAGCAACTCTGTGCATATCAATTCATATATATATACATAATCATGACTGAATTGAATAAAAAAATTAATTATAAAACTAAGATATATGTGTAATATCATGGCAAGTTGAATCTCAAGCCAAAAAAAATTATTAAAATATAGAAATGCTTCAGTGGGAAGACATAGAAGAACTGGAAATGGTGAGCAATGGGGAAAAAAAAAGAAAAATAGATAAATAGATGCAGTATGTGTGTTAATTGAAAAGAAAATTGAATTAACATTCAAATTCTATAATTACAAAATGCTCGTCCCCTAACATAAATTCGTTAAATTCATTACAATTGTCATTGTCATTTGATTGAATATTAGATCGGTCCTCATTAGGCACCAGTTTACCTCCGATCCAATTTAAATTTCTTAATAAAGTTGAGATGTTATCTATATCTGTACGATTAATATACAATCTTAACATTGTTAAATTCAAGGATTCTGCCAACTCTAATAAAGCTAATAACCATTCTTTACTATTCTGAGTCAACGCTTTCTTTTTCTCCAATTGAGTCGTACTGCTATCATCGATTTCGTTAACTTGTGGTAAAATTACATGGAAGTAGATGGAATCTGACTTGCACCAGATTAAATCTTTGAAAAATAATGGAAGATATACCAAAGTATATCGTGTTCCTAGCTTTCTCCAGTGATAATTCAAATTTGAGCTATTAAGTTTTCTTTCATGGATCAATGAATTCAATAAATTTCCAATATTTTTAACAATTAATTTTTGTAAAGATTTAAAATTTCGACTGTTTGAATAGAATGGCAAAATAAATTTTGATTCAGTCAATAAGATAATATCCCAAAAGAATTCAATCATTTCATTCTCTGAATAGTTTGAAGACAGTTGAATAGCGGTGTCACGCGCACCAATCTTTGAAATTATTATTATGGATAGAATAAACATAAAAGGAAGGATTACTATTATCATTATTATAATCATTTGAAGTTTTCCTTTTCATCAGACTAGTGATTGGGAATGTAAAAGCCATTGCAGACACTGAAGGTTGCAACAATTCATGCTGTACATCTTCTGTAGATAGTAATTGTAAAAGATGAGATTGTTTCTTAATTATAGAATCTTGAATACTCATTGTATGTTAATGTTTTAATATGAATGCTGATTGGAATAAATTCTATTGAGATGAAATATGGAATATGATTCTTCGATATTTTAATCCAGTTAAAATATAATATTCTGATGAACTGCTTTAAATGCTAAAATTCTCGAATCGCAGTTGTTCGACTTATTTCTCGTATGCTGAAACAAATAAGTAAAATAAAATTCTGATTAAAGGATTGATTTCCTGGCCCACAAACTTGGAGAATAATGTATTTATATATATATTCCGTAAACCAGGAGATGGAATGAAAATATATTTCTCTTCAAACGGCTTATACAGCAGTAGTGAAACCTACGTTGGTTAAATGGATGAAACTTTAGATTAAAGCTATAAGAAAGCTCTAGTGGCTCGAGAGAGTAGACAGCTGGATATCTATTGTATATTAAGTTTACCAAACTTCAATATCACACAGTTCTAAGGACAAGTGTATAACTAACTACAAGAATAAATATATATTAATAACAAGAGATGTATGATATTATTAAACTTGATTAACTAATAATCACATCAGTTTTTGTTCAAATCAGTTAATAGCTTAGTGATATGATGTGATGTGATGTGATATGTTATCTTTGCTTAGTTGAGAGAGAGACAGAGGTAAAAGAGAGAAATATAAGTGAGCAATATGCACGTGATGTGATCGTTTCAGGTGATATTCAGGAGTAATTTCTGTAAGGCGAGAATAACAAAAGAAACGACACATGTTTGGGA